GCGAATAATGGCGTCGACCTTGATAGGACGAAGCATCTCGTTCACGCATGTCGTGACCGTGACGTGCGTTTTGCTGGCGCTTGCGGCAGAAACTAGAAATGTACAAGAGTGGAAACTTGGGCTAGTTGGTGCGTAGTCATATTTGCAAGATGTTTCAGCGCGCGAACAAAGGAAAAAGGACAGGGTAGACAGAAAGAGCGCTGACTTCCAACTAACTTTATTTCACAGAGTGGCAAGAATATATACTGCTAAAACAGGATGATAACAGAGCATGAAGGTAAAATGCACCCTAATCTACACATCAGTAACAAAACACGTGTGACAGGTCCTCTATTGCCTCAAAGCCGAGCTAGGTAATCACGTTCAGCCTGTGATAAAGCAATCGATGATGTGCTTACACATTTATCTCCTAGCAAGTGTATTTTTTCGGCTTCAATAATTTCTCGGGTAAGCTGATCCCTGTGCCTTGCCAATATGGAGCACTGATCAAAGAGAGGGGTGCACCCACAATCTCGGCAATGAATGCCAAGATGCCCTTGTACCACATTGTGCACATTGTTTCGGTGTTCTCGGAGGCGGTCATTTATGCACCTGCCGGTTTGCCCGACATAGATGCACCCACACGTCAGTGGAATCAAGTAAACGACTCCCACTGCGCATGGGACGTAGCGTGTCCTGTGCGCGACAGAGCACGAGGCAGAATTTGCACGAGGTGCATTGACCCGTTTGCAAAGCCTCTGCAATTTTTCCGGGGCAGAAAAAAACCACAAAAACGTTGGCGTCTCGAGCAATCTTTTTTACCCTGTGTGATACGTCGTGCACGTAAGGCAGTACGACAGGCCGGCTCTTTTTGCCACTGTTTCGCTTATCCGGTTTGTCGCCTCGCTTCAAGACAGTGACCAGCTTTTCCGCCACCGAAACGAGAACATGCGCGGGGTAACCAGCTTTGGTAAGCCGCTCTACTTGTAGAGCAAAGCTGTGGTGTACCATGTGGGGGCATGACTTCTTTAAGGCATTGACAAGGCAGAGGTTAGCGATGCCCCGCATGACCAATTTAGAGTGAGCTGAGCTGAAAGGCAGAAGAGGCTTGCCGCTCCTTGGCTCATACATCCAGCAAACATGTCGGGAGTCTAACAAAAGCTTCAAATCTAGAAACTTCAGGTTGTTATCAGTGGGTGATTCATGGGTTAGAACTAGTGGTTTCAGGCACTCTCGGAAAACAGTCAACACTGTTTCTGAGCAACCAGGGCATAGAAGGCAGCAGGGCCTACACCCTTGCAATAAGGCGTACTTTGTCGGACACCAGCGTAAATGAATTGGCACGCCTGCAGAGCACTCGAACCTCCTGAATGTATGGTGCGTACGACTCACCGGAATGTTGTTGCTGGTGTCGAGGGTTCTCTTCGTGAATGGACCGAATTGCCGTTGTGCCGAAAGCGTGGGGAAGTTTCTACTTGAAGGTTGCTCAGTCGGGTATCTCGGTGATGTGGTTAAAGCACCATGTCTTTGCCACACCAGTCAAATAGAAAGAGACGTAACGGAGCTTGGCGCTTTCGTCTCAGCAGTTAGCAACAGTCACGCGGCTGTACTCATCGATCCAGTCCTCCTTGTCTTCCCTGCGAAGACTGAAGACTGGCTAGGAGAGGGGGATCAGGCTAAACAGGAGGCGCGGCTGAAGACAGCGGGGGGGGGGGGGGGAGGCAGATCGCAACGGCGCGGGCAGGCTCACCAGGCAGTTGAGCAAGTTGGGAGAGGACCAAGCACCGAAAATTCACCTCCGTCGCATATTACGTCTGGGTTGAAACAACGTTTATTCCACCCAAGGGCTCAGCGGCGAACAGGCAGTCTGAGACAGAGCGTTCACACACCCAATGATGATTGTGGTGACACCTAGTGAAGATGAGAACAGAGACCCAGACAGATTATGATGATTATGATAATGTATACGAGATGAAGCACATAATGAATACCAACTATAAAATAGATTATCTACACTTCGTGAACTGATTCACAGGTGAATCTTGCTTATTTGAAGGAAACACCTAAATGAAAAAAACGCGTATCGCCATAGCGTCAAAATTGCGCCACCTAAGAATCATATTCAGGAATTGTGCAGAAGAGCAAACTTCGGCCACTTTGAGCGTATCTATCTATCTATCTATCTATCTATCTATCTATCTATCTATCTATCTATCTATCTATCTATCTATCTATCTATCTATCTATCTATCTATCTATCTATCTATCTATCTATCTATCTATCTATCTATCTATCTATATGTCTGTCTGTCTGTCTGTCTGTCTGTCTGTCTGTCTGTCTGTCTATCTATCTATCTATCTATCTATCTATCTATCTATCTATCTATCTATCTATCTATCTATCTATCTATCTATCTATCTATCTATCTATCTATCTATCTATCTATCTATCTATCTATCTATCTATCTAGCCGCCTATGGCTTGTAGCTCTCCTGGCCATTTCAAAAATGGTATTCATACGAAACTTCGTATAGCATAAAATGACTGTATGAAAAACATATTTGACTAGTTACAACATGAAAATCCTGATATATATGTCATCACTGTTATGATTTACATGTCATGGTCTTACAACTCTTGCGGTGGTTTTGTTCACATAGCATGTTGGAAAACTGGTACGCTATGACATGCTTGCATGGCAAACACAAGCGACAGACCCTAACATCATAATCATGAGTTCCGTGTCATGTAACGACATGACTGCATGCCACGGTCATGATGCACCGGCGGCCGTTTCGCTAGCTTCACTTATACCAAATTTGGTATTACGGCACGTGAATGGATGTCGAATGTATGATACTGGTGCAAACATGATAAACATGAGATGCGTGTCATGTGACATGACTACATGCTAGGCTCATGACGCGCTCGCGGCAGTTTAGTAGCTTCATATGTACCGAACTCGGTATTACGTGACGCGAACGGTCGACATAGGTAAACGACACATCCAAACATGATAATCACGATATGCGTGTTGTAAGAACATGACTGCATGCCACACTCATGATGTGCTCACAGCCGTTTCGTGGGCTTCAAATAGACCGAATTGGTTAATACGTGACGCCAATTGATGAAGAAGGTATGTGGCTGGTGCAAACATGATTATCATGAGAGGCGTGTCATGTGAGAACATCACTACATGCCACAGTCAAGGCGCCAATACATTTTGACGTGACGCGGTGCGTGGGCTCGCCAGCATTCGTTTCGTCACGTCACGCCGACGTTGCTACGCTAGGTGCCGGTCCTGCCTTATGCTCTCAGGCGCGCGCCACGCTGTGTTGCTTTGACGCATGCGCGTTTCAGCACGTGCAGCGTCGCTCCGTCACGAAAAGAGGGAGACGCAGTGTTGTCTCGGTAACACATCGGCATGAAATACAGCATGTCGCATTTCACGCAGGTTGCCGTCGGGCCACGCTGACGGATGCTGGTCGCGCCTGGTGTAAGACTATGGAGTGCTCGCTTTTTGCTAACGTAGCGTAGCTGTGCCCAGCGTGCACGCGCGTCAACGCTACATAGGAGTATGTTCGGCCCTTCATGACGCACTAGCGGCCGTTCTGCTAGCTCCGCATATACCAAATTTTGTGGTAATTGACGTCAATAGATGACGAATTGTATGACTGGTGCAAACGCGTTAATCTGGACACGCGTGTTATGTAAGAACATGACACATAACAGGCTCATAGCGTGCTTGCGGCCCTTAAGCTAGCTCTACGTATACTAAATTTCGTATCACGTGGCTTGAATAGATGACGAAGGTAAACGGCACATCCAAACATGATAATCATGACACTGAAGTGATGTACGGCATCATTTACCTCCACCTCGTAACGCGTTGCTGATTTTAAAGTGACATATCAACATTTCTCTTTCGTGCTTCGCATATCATCGATTCCCACCGTACGTGGAATCTGCCAATTTTCGCGATACGATAAGCCACGGAGACTGCTACAATGGTATCATCAAGAATATAAAACAAAATGACCACGCTTTCTAAAAAAAAAAACTCCAATACTGCCAGTGAAAGGTCAGATAAGATGACGGAGTTTCATTCGATGAATTTTTATGCTTGACAATGTGTGTCGTAGCAAACAGACTGGCTTGACCATCAGGTGGCTCTCAATAGGCGAAATCTCAATTGAAAAACCAAGAGCGTTCGCTGACACTTTGGGCACAAAAAGTGGCAAAAGCCAAGATGCTCTGAACTGAAGGCTCCTCTTTACAAATATAACTGCCCAGCTTCTATGAAATAAACGTCAATCTCTTACGTTCTCACACACATTTGTCATTTAATTTGTGACACTTTTATTATTCTGCGCTGTACGCAGCTGTAAATGCAACATCGCTAGCACCTGGACATTTTTTCACGTAACAGAGTGGGGATTTTTCCTGCACACCACACGCACCTGCATTCTTTATAAGCATTAACATTGTATGATAAATATAAGAAACAGTGGTTCATTATGCGCAATACAACCGTTTAAAATAAGGTATGTGATATATTGAGACCCCCTAAAACATTTCTTTATCATTGTTTAACCAACTGCATATAAGTAATGGGTTTCACTGCTGATCAACAAGTCACAATTATTTGTCAATTGCGGGTAACTTTAGTAGACAAAAGTACTTCCGCATGAGCGAATAGCATTTTTTCAAAGGCGACAGGTGCTAATGGACAGGGTGGCATACAAGAAAATGGAGTACTACAGACATGAAGGCACTACAAAATCACACGTCCACGACTGCCCGTGTTTTTTGTGCCTTGCTTGCACCCAAATGCATTGTTGCCACTGCCATAGCGATGTTCCTGAATATATTGCCAATAAATCTGGAATGCTTGTTTCATCCATTATTTTTGTTCTGTATGTTACACTTCAGTAGAATTCAGAAATAAATGAACTAAAAAACATTGTTTATGAGTCTAATGCGCTTTTCATTCAGTGATAGCCTTCCTTCTTCGCAGAATACAGCGTTGTATATCCAACACTGCTCAGCGCTCGTGATTCCGGAGGAAAGAAAATAATAAAAGTGAATAAACGCATGACCCTCAACCTAGAAAAAAGTGAAGTGTTTTCCAGCGACTTCATGTTTGTAACCGAAGAAAATGGCAAAAAAACTCATCTTCTCGTAAGTACAGCAAAGCTTTGTACAGTTTTAATGCTGTAATAAAAATATGTGTGCCCCAAGCAGTATGCCGCACCAAAAGGACTGCGACATTATTTTCATTACAGATGAGCAAATATGAGTTTGAGAAGGATTTGTATCACGATCAAAGTCTAATGGCTGCATTATTGGTCCGCACGGACGATGGTATACAAGTGGTGAGCATTTTTCATGTTGGAATATGTTTTCTCTGATTCGCTGCATTCCACAGATTCACATGGAAAAATTTGTTTTTTTATTGGCATGTTGCACAAGTAGAAGTAGTGCTCGAATAATCTTCTAACCAACTTCGAAGCAGCACGGGACATGAAGAAATCAATATGCGAAAAATAGGCGCAGACTCATGACCTATATAAATTACTTATGAATAATCAATTCTTTGTCTCACCTCTGTTTCTTCGAGTCCTATCGCATGGCGCAGTTCAATTGATGATCATAGTTAATGGACCCAACTTTTGACGCAAAGTTTGGGGTATTCTCAAACTTCGTCTTCAAAAGTTGAACGCGATAGCGATATATCATGCACACTTCAATTACTCAGTGCATGAAATCGTTTCGGAATTGCTATGCGCTCACTGAGTGGCGTCAAGGAATTAGGCTCAGTAATGTGCGTGCCACTTGTAGTGCGCGACTGGCTCAAAACAACGAAGTCATTACGATAATAGCATGTTCTGACGCCCAATGACGAGGTACCTTTGTACCACGCAATATTACAGCAACATTTAATGTTCCTATGTGAAGCATGTATACAGGACAGGTTTCTAAACCATGAAAGTTACTGTAAGAGCATTTACAAGCAGAGTTGGTTATTTTCACTATATTCTCAAGCAACCCTGCGGGTGCGTGCTAGAACAACCACTTGCCACGCGAACTACCTGAGTTCGATTTCGACTCTTACTCCGAGTTTTTTATTAATTTTTTATTTTCATTTTTCTAGATTTTTCAGTCACGCGCAACAAGACGTTTTTTTACTGTTTACGCCAACGCTTTAAAAACGTACAAAAAGCTTATGCTTAGAAATCGAAGTGATGCCACCAGCACCATATAGAGTCCTGACGGTGAATGATCCTCAGCCTACCATATCCCTCATACAGAGCGTTGTGCGCCACGTATTGCCAAATGCGGCCCTTCAGACAATCTGTTCTATGCACCCACCCGGTGTCCATCCACCTACTGTTTTATTGTTTATTTATATAATATTCATTTATTTGTTATTTACTTATTTATTTATTCATTTATTCACAGAGTTAGTGCAACGCAATAGTGGCAGTACTGCAGTTGGGCAGACACACAAAATTTATTATGGTTAATAACATTTCCGTGATAGTGACGCTTTAAGCATTCTGGAAAATAAAACAACATATAATTACAGCACGCAATCAAAAAATTATTTAGCACATTATGACATGTGGCGAACAGGTACTAAAAGTGAATAGGCATGTCACAATGTCAGAACGATGAAAAAAAGCGCTGTTTTCACTCAAGTTTACGATATCTTTGGGAAGTTTATTCCAGTCTCTCATTATTTTTTAAAAGAAGGAGTTGGCAAACTTTGTGGTTTTGAATGTGTATTCTCGTATTTTATGTATGTGTTGGCGTCTTGCGGAACGATATATTGGTGCTAGTAGGTATGCTGACTTCTCAATTCCCAGTAGGTTATAGTATGTACTATGCAGATGTTTTAGTCGAAGTTTCCGTCTTCTAAATAATAGAGTTTCTCAGCTTAATGTGTCCTTTATATCGGATATACTAGCAAATGGTTCGTAATTTTGCTGGCGAAACGGGCTGCCTGCTTTTGATATTTCTCCATTGTTTCTGCAAGAAATTTTTGCGAACGAGTGGGCACATTTTACGTCATTGCCGAAGCTCGTGGACCCCGCTCTCACGCACAAGCCTATACTTCTCGAACTTCTAAGCATCAACCCGCCCTTCTGGCCAAAAACCACCACGCCGTGACGACTCAGCTCATTACGACATGACCGCCAGGACCAACGCCCAATACAGCCGCTCGCCCTCACCGCGACATATATTCTGCCAGTCTCCTCCGCCACCCCGTTCCCCATCCCCATCCTTCGCCCAATGGTTTCCTTCGGAAAACGAAGTGTTGAAGCTCGTTGGGACGACGCTGATGCCACGACTTGCCCTCCTGTTCTTCTGTTGGCTCTCCCGACCAAATAGAACCTGATTGGTGTACAAGTGAATGATTTATCTGTTAAAGCTTTAGTCGACACTGGCACCCAAACTCCTGCTATGAGCTCGCACCTTCGTCACCGCTTGAAAAAGGCCTCGACTCTAGCCCCATTCACGCTGAGTTCGTGTTGCTGACATCGGTGCAGCTGCCGTTGTTCGTGCCTGCACAGCACGCCTTACTCTAGCTGTCCATCAAATCTCCGTCCTTTTCGCTGTTCTCACCTACTGCACTAATGATGTTATCATCGGTCCAGACATTATTTCCGCCCATTCGGCCCTCATTCACTGTTCAGCTGAGATGGTGCAACTTGACCTGCCCTGTATGACTGATACGCCCAGCAAGCCCAAATTTCGTCTGTGCTCAGCTGAACCTGTTCGTTTGTCCCTGCAAGCAGTTACTTGCATTGCCGTAATGCCGTCGCCGCCTGTACCTGATGAAGACTACGTGTTCACGCCCATTACATCCATCCTTCTGATTCACGGTGTTATTTTTCCGTACACTTTTATTTCGCTACGGTAGGACCATGCTCGTATCCCTTTGCAGAACTTTCTTCTGTGTCCGCAAATGCTTCCGTGTGAAATAGCTGTTGCCACGCTGTCACCCTCTAACGACTGCATCATCTCAGCTTTGTTGCCCTATGATGTGCGTCGCCCTAACTGCACGCCATCCTGTTCTCCGACAGCGAGTCCATCTTCTAATATGGTAAAAATGATTGCGTCGGACCTTTTGCCACACAAAAAGGACGCACTCCGTCACGTCCTGGAAATGTACTCGGGCGTATTCGACTTTTGTGCCCGTCCGCTAGGTCAAACCAGCGTTGTGAAGCACCGCATTAACAGCGGCGATGCATCTCCGGTCCATCGACAGCCGTACCGTGTCTCTTCTGCAGAGCGTCAGATAATTCAAAAAGAAGTCAACAAGATACTCGCCAAAGACATAGTTGAGCCATCTTCTAGTCCACATGCTTCCCCTGTTGTTCTTGTAAAGAAAAACGACGACAGTTGGCGATCCTGCGTCGGTTACCGATATCTGATCCCGGTCACTAAAAAAGACGTCTACCCGCTGCCGTGCAATGACGACGCCCTCGACTGCCTTCATGGCGTTAAGTATTTTTCTTTCATCGACAATTGATTAGGGTACTGGCGAATTACTGTCGACGAAAAGGACCACGACAAGACTGCTTTTGTGACCCCTGTTGGTTTTTACGAGTTTAAGGTCATGCCGTTCAGATTATGCAATGCTCCAGGCACCTTTGAGCGAATGATAGACACGCTATTGCGCGGGTTCAAGTGGTCAATTTGCCTAGACTACCTTGAATTGTATTTTGCCCGACCTTTAAAACACACTTCAACCGCCTTTCCTCAGTCCTTTATGTTTTTCGTAACGCAGGGCTGCAACTGAACTCATCAAAGTGCCAATTCGGATGCCAACAACTAACCATGTTGGGCCATCTTGTTGACTATTCTGGCGTACGCCCTAGTCCTTACAAAGATAGAGCTGTGCAAGACTTCCTCATTCCGACCAGCACTAAGGAGGTCCGCAGCTTTTTAGGTCTATCTTCTTACTTGTGACATTTTGTAAACAATTGTGTGAACGTCGCCTACCCTTTTACGGACTTGCTGAAGAAGGATGTACCATTCTCTTGGGGTGCTGCGCAGGCTTCAGCGTTCTCTAATCTGATCGCGTTGCTCACAACACCACTAATTCTGGCACATTTCAACATTTCCGCTCCAACAGAAGTCCGCACCAATTTCAGCGGCTACGGAATTGTTGATGTTTTGGTCCAGAATCAAAGCGACTGCGCCCGCGTAATCGCAAATGCCAGCCGTAAGCCCTCTGTGGCCGAGCGGAACTACTCAATCAACGTACGGGAATGTCTTGCTGTGGTTTGGACTGTTGGCAAATTTCGGCCCTACCGATATGGTCACCGTTTCGCCATAACAGCTGATCACGACGCCCTCTGCTGACTCTCGTCGTTAAATGATCTTACTGGACGTCTTGGTCACTGGGCACTGCAGCTTCAAGAATATGACTATTTAGTTTCTAACAAATCTGGCCGCTTACACCATGACGCTGACTGCTTGTCCCGCCATCCAGTGAACCTACCTGAGACTTTCGATGAAGCGCCGCCTTGTGTACCCTCTCTTTCTGTTTTAAGCGACATCCGTGATGAACAGTGCCTTGATCCCGTCTTGCGTGACATTATTGAGAAGCTGAAATCTCCGACACCGAATCCGTGTACCAAAATATTTGTGCTCGAAGAAATCAACTTGTGCCGCTACAATGTCAACACAAATGTGCGCAGACGGCTCCTTGAGGTGCCTTCCCACCTACGTTCGACTATTAACGCTCAGCTCCATGACGCCCCTACCGCCGGTCTCCTGGGTCTCTCTCGTATGTACGACCGTGTTAAGCGTCAATTTTACTGGCTCAGGCTTTATCGCTCCATCCGCCACTACGCCGGCGCATGGGACCAGTGCCAACGTCGAAGAAAACCCTGTATGATTCCCGCCGGACTCCTCCAGTCAATTGATCTGCTTCCCACCTACGTTCGACTATTAACGCTCAGCTCCATGACGCCCCTACCGCCGGTCTCCTGGGTCTCTCTCGTATGTACGACCGTGTTAAGCGTCAATTTTACTGGCTCAGGCTTTATCGCTCCATCCGCCACTACGCCGGCGCATGCGACCAGTGCGAACGTCGAAGAAAAGCCGGACTCCTCCAGTCAATTGATCTTCCGGTTGACCCCATCGTTTGAGTTGGCCTTGACCTCCTAGGCCCTTTCCCTGAGTCTACCTCCTGTAACAAATGGATAGCTGCCGCTATGGATCACACAGCCCGTTACACCATCACACGGGCTTTGCCAACCAGCTGTGCCACAGATGTTGCCGATTTCCTACTGTACGATGTCATCCTCCATCATGGGGCTCCATGCCAACTCTTCACAGATCATGGACGCTCTTTTCT